TATATGTTTTTTGTCGTTGTTGGGTTCGAATTTTTGTGACATAAAACGTCAGTTTGGATAATAAATAAGTCTTAACCAGTATAATTATGTTTGTGTTTACAGAGGTTTGGACAGGGCGTCATGAAGTACAGTAATGGTGATACTTATGAAGGAGTGTTTGAATATGACTTGCGCAGTAAGCAGGGAAAGATGACGTACAAGGACGGATCAGTGTATGAAGGCAGCTGGGCCAATGGATTGGTAGGAATTGACTGTTTTATTCTCATACATTTGACATTTGTTACAACGAACGAGCCTTTAAACTTGCTTTCTCAATTCAGCTGTGATTTAAAGTATCTCAACGTTCTTTCTTCTTAGCGCCAAGGAAAAGGAAAAATGTTTTACAGTCACAAAAAAAGCAAGTTTGAAGGTAGGACTTGGTCGTCATATTCACATTATACTTTCAAAGTTAATTAGTTTCACCTTGACCCTTTGGTGACGTTTAAGTTTTATCATTTTTGTCAGTAAATAAGGGAATTTTAGACAAAAGTAAAAAAAAATAATAATTATACAGCTATAGTAGACACTTAAAAGTGTCTATAAGCGCTGTATTCACGAGTGCGACCATCGTAATAATTTGCAAACGCTTTCATGTCAGTTGTTTTAACTCCTCAGGGGAATGGATGTTGGGCTTGAGACACGGAGAAGGAGTGTTAACATTTGCTACTGGAGCCAGCTACAGCGGGCGCTGGGAGTTCGACAAGGTAATCCACTTGACTGATTAAACAGTTTTTAATTTGTCGCAGATCAAAACAACTTACTCGCTTGCTTTGGTTAGCAGCTTCTATTATTACTTGACGGAAGCCCAAAACCAAATTGCGACTTGGCGTACAAGCGTTTTCTATCTCCTGGGATCCTTATTAGCTTATGCTTGTCCCCAGTAACATAATTTRCCGCTTCTGCTTGCTTATAGCATCTTCTGTGAAGGGTATAATTGTTTTTTTTTTCTCTGTATATTGTCATTTACAGCAAAATGGACGTGGCATGTACACGGACCCCTCTACTGGTTATCGTTATGAAGGTACTTTGGGACATTTTGTGTAGGATAAAGTAACTACATTTTTATGTTTATGCTGAATATAAAAATAGTATTTTGCTGTCCTGGATCAATTTTGATTATGATTTTGCTATTGATGGGTTTAATGCTATTATTCGTCTGCGGAGCCACTCGGCCACTTTGACAATGTTATGACGAAATTCATGATCAATAACACTACGGACGCATGAAAAACTGACGTCAATTTGTGAAATTGCTCTTTTTTTTTCTACAGGGGAGTGGCAAAATGGACTTAAACACGGTAAAGGAGTAGAGCAAACTACTGAAGGGAGATACGAAGGAGAATGGAAAGATAACATGGTAAATAACCCCTCCTCTCCCCTCCCCTCCCAGACTTAATTGGATAATCACAATTACTTGGGTGGCCGTTAGTAGTTCTTGTGGCACTTACATAAGGTGATTAAGTTCCTATTTGGCAGAAGGCAGGGCAGTTGGTTCTTTACAAAACGGGACGCAGAAGTCAATTCTGGGACTACCGCGAACAAATCCAGCTGATACCAAGTTTAGGATGCTGCATAATGTGGAATTGTTCACTGTACAACCTAAATTTGGGATGGATTTCATTTTATTATTAGCTAAAGTGTAATTTTGATAACATCTTTTCTTATCTAAAAGAATTTTCATTTGTGGCTTCCTTCTTTTAAAAACTTTCGCGGGATTATTCTATTATTTGCGTCTACATTTATGTGAATACAATTCGGTTTTGCAAGACTTAGGTCCTTTGACTTCTTTTCTTCGATGGACGAATAGTTTGTGTTGATTTAAGGATCAATCACTTGTTTATTGACGTGACTGAATAGACCCGTCATCGGTTTATGTAAGTTGGTGGTTAAGCTGTTATAAATAATTCTGTTCTGATTTCAGCGTCATGGCCAGGGAAGAGAAGTCTTGTCTTGTGAAACAGAATTCGAAGGAAGGTGGAAGGAAAATAGAAAGCATGGACAAGGAATCAAGAAACTGAAAACCGGACGGATGGAAGAGCAGGTACTAGTACGCGTACTTTGATTGCTTCCGAGTTGACATCTTCTAAGCATTATGTGTCGAGCTTAAATTTCTCTTCTGAGCAGAACAGCATAAAGGAACAGATAACATAGTTGTTTCTAGGAAATGGAAAGTTAGTTGCAAACGTTTCGAAGCTGAATACGAAAACGAAGTTAAATTTAGAATAGCCTGTGGTATGCTGATCGATGAATACAAGGCTCCCAGAATTATTTTCTATTTGACGAGGATAAAGTACGCACCAAACAAATTGGAATATTTAGAGAGTAAGCCACATCCGCCTTAGCTGGTTGTTATTCGGTTCCTCTATCCTGGTCGAATTGGAATTTGTATATGTTGGTTTTTTTCAGGAGGGAGGAAAACCGGAGAACCCGTAGAAAAACCCTCGGAGCAAGACGAGAACCAACAGCAAACTCAACCCACATATGACACCGGGCCAGAATTGAACCCGGGGAACCCAAACTCCCCCTCCCCACATTGGTGGGGGGCGAGCGTTCTCAGCACTGCGCCATCCCTGCTCCCCTATGATAGAACCATGATAGAACGAGTAGAGTCCATTTTAAAGTTTAATTGTGATTTGTTGTTTGTGTCAGGTGTGGCGTGAAGGAAAGCACGTGGATGTGTCAAGTGTTGTTGTTATTGAGCTGCCCCTTATTCAAAGAAGATGATGATCAGACAAACCACAGCTGGAGTTCCAATGCTGTGATCTTGCCTACATACGGCTAGTAGAACTGTGAATTAAATGAACTGAGCTGCAAGATCGTTTGTAAATGAGTAATGGCTGGATATGACGAGCAGCATGTGTCGATACATTGGCTTAGCAGAGGTTTGGAGCGACCACTGCAGGTCTGCTTAGAGAGCTAGCCACGTTAATGAAGAATTCTTTGCACCAAAGCGCCAATCAACGG